ATTGTGAGCCATCCTTGCATCCCAGGAATGAAGCCTACTTGATTGTGGTGAATTAGCTTTTGATGCATTGCTGGATTCAGTTTGCTGCTATTTTGTTGAGGCTTTTTGTGTCTATTTTCGTCAGGCATATTGGCTTGTAGTTTTCTTTTCTCATTGTTTCTTTCTCAGTTGTTCATATCAGGATGATGCTGGCTACATCATCCTCAATGATAGGGTAGTATCCATCCTCCTCAGTTTTTTGCAATAGTTTCAGTAGAATTGATACCAGCTCTTCAATGAACTTCTGGTAGAACTTAGCTATGAATCAATCTAGTCCTGGGCTTTTTTTTTTGGTTGGTAGTTTTTACTACTAATTCAATTGCGGAACTCAATATTGGTCTGTTCAGAGTTTCCATTTCTTCCTGATTCAATCTTGGGAGGTTAAGTGTTCTAGAAACTTACCTATTTCCTCTAGGTTTCTACCTTGTATACATAGAGTTCTTTCTAATGGTCTCTGAGGATCTTTTGTATTTCCATGAGATCAGCTGTAATGTCACCTTTGTCATTTTTTATTGTGCTAATTTGGATGTTCTCTCTCCCTTTGTTAATTAATTAGTGCTCTATTGGTCTTTATTCTTTCAAAGAACCAACTTTTGGTTTCATTAATTTTTTAAGAGATTTTTAGGTTTCAATTCCAGTCAGTTCTGCTCTGATTTTGGTTATGTCTTTTCTTCTGCTAGCTTTGGGGTTCGGTTGTTCTTGTTTTAATAGCTCTTCTGGGTATGATGTTAGTTTATGTAAGATCTAACTTTTTTAGGTAGCCATTTAATGCTGTAAACTTTCCTCTTAACACTGCTCTTGCTGTATCCCAGAGATTTTGGTATGGTTTCTCTGTTTTCATTTATTTCTAAGAATTTTTTGACTTCTGCTTTAATTTAGTTGTTTAACCAAAAATCATTCAGGAGCAAGTTGTTTAATTTCCATGTAATTGTGAAGTCTGGGGAAATCTTCTTGGTATTGATTCCTATTTTTATTCCACTGCGGTCTAAGGGTATATGGATGGTATTTGATTTTTTTTTAATTGAGACTTGCTTTATGACAGAACATGTGGTCATCTGTCCTACATGCAAATGAAAAGAACGTATATTCTGTGGTTGACAGGTGGAGTAGTCTGTATATGCCTATTAAGTCCCAAACTCTCCTGGCTTGTAAGGTTTCTGCTGAGAAGTCAGCTGTTAGCTTAACGGTTTCTCCTTTATATGTGATCTTGCTTTTTCTCTAACTGTCTGTAACATTTTTTCTTCAGCATTGACCTCAGATATTCTGGTGAGTATGTCTTGGTGATGTTCATTTTATATAGCATCTCACAGACGTTCTTGAGATTTTTTTTGAATCTGGATACCTACTTCTCTAGCAAGATTAGATTTTTCTGGGATTATTCCCTCAAATATGTTTTCCAGGTTATTTACCTTTTCTCTATCTCAGGAATGCCAATAATTTGTAGGTTTGATCACTTTTCATTATCTCATATTTCTCAAAGACTTTGTTCATTTAAAAAAATTTTTATTATTTTTGCCTGTCTGGGTTAGTTAGATTGGTCTTCAAGCTCTGAAATTATTTCTTCTGCTTGGTCTAAGCTATTGATAAAGCTTTCAACTGTTTTGTTTTATTTTTTTGGAGACAGAGTCTTACAAAAGTGATTCTCATGCCTCAGCCTCTGGAGTAGCTGAGATTACAGGCATGCACCACCACACCCAGCTAATTTTTATATTTTTAGTAGAGACAGGGTTTCATCATGTTGTCCAGGCTGGTCTTGAACTCCTGACCTCAGATGATCCACCTGCCTTAGTCTCCCAAAGTGCTGGGATTACAGGCATGAGCCACCACACCCAGCCTCAACTGTATAGAAATTCCTTAAGAGAGCTTTTCAATTCTAAACACTCTGACTGATTTCCTTTTAAGATGCTTATCTCTTCCTTCATTTCCTGGATTGATTTAGAAGTTTCTTTGTGTAGATTTTCAATCATATCTTGGATCTCACTGAACTTCCTTGTAATCCATGCTTTGAATTTTTTTATTTTTTTATTTTTTATTTATTTTTTTTTTTTTTTGAGACGGAGTTTCACTCGTTACCCAGTGGAGTGCAATGGCGCGATCCCGGCTCACCGCAACCTCCGCCTCCTGGGTTCAGGCAATTCTCCTGCCTCAGCCTCCCGAGTAGCTGGGATTACAGGCATGCGCCACCATGACCAGCTGATTTTTTGTATTTTTAGTAGAGATAGGGTTTCACCATGTTGACCAGGATGGTCTCGTTCTCCTGACCTTGTGATCCACCCGCCTCGGCCTCCCAAAGTGCTGGGATTACAGGCTTGAGCCACCGCACCCGGCCCCATGCTTTGAATTTTTTTTTTCTGTCATTTCTGAGTTTCCATTTTGGTCAGGAATTATTGTTGGAGAGTTAGTGTAATCCTTCAATGGTGTTGTAACATTCAGATTTTTCATGATAACAGAATTCTTATGCTGGTTCCTTCCCATCTGGAGATGTTGATACTATAATTTTTGTAATTATTTTTGTACAGATTGAATTTTTTCTTTTTCTTTCTTTCTCTGCAATATTATCAGGATTTTTTTTCTTTTCCTTTCCCTTTTCCCGACTCCCTATGTGTTGTGACTGCAGAGAATGCTGTGTTGGATCTTTTGGCTTTGCTTCTATAGCCCTCTGCACTTCCATCAGCAGCTTTTATATAGGACTGTTTGGTTGGACCTATAGCCAGTAGATGGCACTTATGAATAAGAGCCTACTACAGATGCTCTCTGCTGCATTAGGCAATAGGCTAATATGTTGAGTCCATAATGTTCTGAGTTCCTTTCTCAGCCCTGGAGGGCAGGAGGCAAGATGGTCATTCTCTGATGGCAGGCACAAGCACCAGCACTGAGGGAGAATCCAGTGGAAAGTCACCAAGCACTTAGAGGTGTGCCTAAGCATGAAGCTGGGAAACATCCTCAGCCCCAAGTCTGCACAGAAAGTGGAGGCAGTCTAAACTTCTAATCGAGGAGTGTAAGCACTCCAGATCTCTGGAGATTTGGCTGGGCATGGAGCAGAGAGGACCCTGCCACCAGGGTTATTCTGTGTTTCTAGACAACACCAGAGTTATTGTGTAGAAAGGGTGAGGCAGCTTAGGCTGACATTCCAGGTGAACCAGTGCTCCAAATTCCTGGAGATCTGCCTGGGTGTAAAGCAGAGAAGGCCCAGCTGCACCATGGTCTCTGTACAGGAAGAGTGAGTGACTCCGGATGCTAAACCAGGTGACCAGGTACTCTTAACTGTCTGGCGATCTGCCTGGATGTGAAGCAGCAAGAGCCCCTCCTGTACCTGGATGCCTGCACAGGAAGGGTGGGGCAACTGAGACTGCCAATCCAGGTGAGGTGAGCAGGTGCTTCGAATGCCTAGAGATCTGCCTGGACATGGAGTGAAGAGGACTACACCAGGATCTCTGGACAGGAGGGGTGGGACAGCTCAGGATGCAAAACCAGGCAAGCAGGTGCTCCAAATGCCTGGAGATCTGCCTGGGTGTGGAATGGAGAGGGCTCTCTGCACCATTTTTGCAAACCTTTTTTTACAACTCTCAAAATTAATACTACTACTTTTGACTTAATGGTATTTTGCATTACACATCTTTCTTTATGAAAAATACATCTTCTCTTCTAAAATTAAGAAACACGAACAAACAGGTGTAAGACCACACTTCTGAAAATCCTAAGATCACCTATATTAGCACATAATCAAAATTTCCAACTATGTCTTTGGAATGATCCTTCGGAGAATTTTTCTCTTCTATATCTTCTTATTTAATTACTTAGGTTACAATGTCCTAACCAGGTTTGGTGCAGTGGCTCACACCTGTAATCATAACACGTTGGGTGGCCGAGGCCAGAGGATGACTTAAGTCCAGGAGTTTAAGACCAGCCTGGACAACACAGGGAAATTCCATTTCTAAATTTTTTTTTTTTTACATAGCCAGACATGATGGCATGTGCTTGTAGTCCCAGCTACTCAGGAGGCTGAGGCCAGAGAACTGTTTGAGCCCAGGAGGTTGAGGCTGCAATGAGCTGTTATCAAGCCACTGTACTCCAGCCTGGGCAACAGGGACAAATGCTATTGCAGAAGGGGGGGATAAAAAAGTCCTATCCTCTATAAAGATTTTAAAAAGAGATAACAACAGGCATGGCACAGAAAATTATTTTGCAACATCATTTGGTAAAGTTATAAAGGTAAAACAAAGCTTGTGACTTCTGTGGTTGCTGCAGAGATAGCATTAAGTTATCTACAACTTAGATAAGTTATTACATGCCACTAAATACAATATCTCTCTGTCCTTGATCAATAAGGGAGAGGAAGGAGGTCCATCAGAAACACATGAGCACAAGCTGTTTAAGAATCAAAATCTGTGCCCTGACCCCCAGAGAGCAACGGAGAGAAAGAAAGAAAGCAGGAGAGAGTTATTTTGCTATATGAAAATATATGCAGCATGGTGCCAAAGCAGACAGAAAGAAAAAAAAAGAAAATCTTGCCATTTGTATTTTTTTTTTTCTTAACAAAGAAATTTCTGAAAGATGGAGTAAAAGCTTAATTTAAAAAGACCCCAAGAACCGCCAATACATTTGGCTTTGTCAAACAAATACTCCTATTGTCAACACTAAATCTCTATGAGAAATTAATCACATAATTCACCTGGAAATGAATTCTCCTTACAGAGTTCCAACTCCTTTGAAAGAAAGAGAAAACAATGTTGCGGGGAGGAGTGTTAACAGAAAAATAAATTGAACAGTCTGAAAAACTGTTTACTAGCAGCGTACACCGATTCCAATGAGTTTTACACACTTGCCAAAAATAAAAATAAAAAACACCCCGAGGGAGGGAAATCTATTGTATATTAAGAATTATTTAAATAAAATGCTATTTAATAATAAGAGAGCCGAAACACTGTACATGTGAAATATTCCAAAAAAAAGTAACTTACTTGCTTTTCCCTTTGTATACTGTAGCATAAGATCCTTCCCCTAATTTTTCCAGTTTTTCATATGAGTCAGCTTTTCCAAATTTGGGACTTGTTGGCTAAAAATGAAGCACAGCGTAAACAAAACATATTGTATCAAATTAATTAACAACAAATACCCTGATTTTGCTGATAATGTACAGATTCTCTCTCACTTTTTAAATAACTACTTTTTCTGGCATACTTTCATTTTTTTGGACAGAGACTCTTTCTGTCACTAGGTTAGAGTGCAGTGGCACTATCTCGGCTCACTCCAACCTCCGCCTCCCAAGTTCAAGCTATTCTCCTGACTCAGCCTCTCAAGTAGCTGGGATTGCAGGCATGCACCACCATGTCCAGCTAATGTTTGTATTTTTAGTACAGACGGTGTTTCACCATGTTGGCCAGGACGATCTCAATCTCCTGACCTCATGATCTGCCCTCCTCAGCCTCCCAAAGTGCTGGGGTTACAGGCATGAGCCACCGCACCTGGCCCATATTTATTTTTCAAAACAGAATACACAGGGTACAAAACTAAAAAAAAATGTAAATAAACACAATATAGTATGAAATTATTCCCATAATCTGACCAGGAAACCACTGTTAACATTTTGAAATCTGTTCTTCCAGTGCTATCTATAAGCTGATGATTGCTTTTTTACATGAATGAAAATTATCTACCGGTTTTTAACCTGCCCTCCCTTTTTTATTCAATAAATTATGAACACTCTACATGTTATTTATTATACAATCTTCTAAATTAGGAGCTGCCAAACTGTGGCCCATGGGTCAAATTCAGCCCACCACCTGTTTCTGTACATCCCATAAGTTTAGAATAGTTTTTGTCTTTTACTCCTCCGATACCTTTTAGTGATAATTCCAACAGATAATCAGAAGATGTATCACTCAGCTATCACTAATTAACACAAAATGGAACTATTTTATGTATACATAAATCAATCCTTAAGGTATAGCTGCCACAAAATAACTCTTCCTTAAGACAGGTCACATCCCATCAGGACTAAAAAAATGCTAAGAGTGAATGACCTCATCAGTCTTGCTGTGCTCAACTCCCACTCCAACTTTAACTGTGGAGCAACAAAAGGGGAGTGTTGTCCTCTATGGTGGAGAAGCATTCACTTTCTATTTCAATAAGAAATGACCTACTATTATACTGTTGCTATTATTTAAAAGGGTAATATCAAAGCATATTAGAAAATGATAATTACATAAGAAATGAAAACTATCTTATTAAATAGATTATCTGATCCCAATATAAATATAAATATAATTCATAAAGTTTCTAATATTTGTGGTACTTCACAAATAACCAACTTTAGAAGTTTAGAGCTTGTATTCCAGAAGTTGGGCTTGAACACTACTTTTGAGTATACTCCTGTACCACTTGCCAAAAACACACAACATGTGGGCAATGATTCTGACTCACACTATTTTTACGGATTTTATATGGCCAGTTGAACATGTTTCTTACCTCCTTCCCACCCAAAATACCCCATTGTGACTGAAAAGTTATTTTTCAAAAAGAATAAATCAGAATTAGAAACAGAAAACAAAAAAGAGTGCCAATATCTAATCAGAAATTTTGAAGAATTCTGAAAAAAGGTAACTAAAAACTTAAGAGAAAAGCCTGACTATTCCATAAAATGAGAAGACTATTCAATAAAAGAAGCAGGAACCTCTAGGTGAACATGAGACTAATCAACACATAGACAGTTGAGACTGCAGTGTCCTCCCAAGCAAGCTGCAGAGGCATCTGCATAGGAGACGGCTTAGAATGCAGTATCTGAGCAGAGTAAGGACTCAAGTAGTCAATATTCAGAGAAAAAGCAATGTCTCCTAACCCCCAAGCTGTAATCTCTTTCACACAATCAGTAGAGACAATTTACAGAAAATAAAATAAGCTGACAGTGATTCTCAAATACAAATATGAGTATACAACCAAACATCACAAAGCATTTTAGGAAAAGCAATATCCTGAAAAAGAAGGATAAAATTCAGTGGGCAGAGAATCTAAAACCTTGGAAGGCAAGTTGACACTCCAAAGGTAAGAATAATTTTAAACATAAAGATTAAATTAATGCCACAGAGATTGTAGAAAACAGGTACACAGTCAAATTTTCTACTACCCCAATTCATCTGTAAATATTCTAAAGGCTCAATGGTTGAAGTCAACTAACTACACATAAACTTCCATGAGATTGCTTCCTCATTCTGTGTAATGTAAAAGAACATAAATTAAGTTCTTATGTGTGGAACTAAATAAATTTTTGCAAAATCTAAAGTCTGATCTTTACAGGTATACATAGCACATGGTAGCCTAAAGCAACACAATCTGAGGATGTATTATCAGGGAACTTCTGTTGCTCATCATTAATATTAAGAAAAAAATAAGCAAACAAGTTCATATCTGAGAGTCACAACTATTAATCCAGCCTATCTCTAGATAGTGCCCCCTTCAAAGGAAGAATGACTATGCCAAATGCTGAGAGAACTGCTGGAAAATTAAGTGCTGCAAGAAAGCTTCTAAGGTCAAGTACTTAATCTGCCACAGCTGGACACCATAGTAACCCATTTCCTGACCAAGCATTCAATGTGGGGTCAATTCCTCCTCAAGCTCCATGATTACTAATTTTATAATGAAATATAGACCAAAAATAGAATTCCTGCCTTCACAAAATCAGAACTCCTAGAGCTACATAACACTGTCGGCATCATCTACTCTAACATAAATGTATAAAAACGAAAACCCCCCAGAAATACCAATTTGCCCAAGACCATACACTGAATTTCAATTAAATATTGTTCCTTAAAGCAATGCTGTCTAAGTAATCTGCTCCCATTTAGCACTCAGTATGAGAAAACAAAAGTAGCAGCACAAAATTTTGCTAGCACTCAGTATGGGAAAACGAAACTACCAACACAAATTAACAGTGTTTAAAGAAAATATCTTAACCAAATAACAAGGGGTTTATTTTATACATATGTATGGTCTGCTACAAGTGTCATAACCAAACACAGACTGGGTGACTTCAACAACAAAAATTCTTTTTTTCACAGTTCTGGAAGCTAGAAGTTCAAGATCAAGGTTTTGACAGGGTTTGTTTCTCCTGAGTCCTCTCTCCTTGGCTTGCAGATGGCCACCTTCTCATGTGTCCTCACATGGCCTTCCCTCTGGTTGACTGGATCCCTAGTGTCTCTACACTACTTATAAGGACACCAGTCATATTATATACGGTCACAGTTAATGACCTAATTTTAATTTAGTCACCTCTTTAAAAAAAAAAAAAACCGTATCATCAAATATGGTTACGTTTTGAGGTACTGGGGGCTGGGACTTCAACATAGGAATTTTAAGGGAACACCATTCAGCCCATAATTCTCTCTCTCTCTCTCTCTCTCTCTCTCTCTCTCTATATATATATATATATATATATATATATATAATTTTTATATATATATATAATTTTTATATATATATATAATTTTTATATATATATAATAATTTTAAACATAAAGATTAAATTAATGCCACAGAGATTGTAGAAAACAGGTACATAGTCAAATTTTCTACTACCCCTATTCATCTGTAAATATTCTAAAGGCTCAATGGTTGAAGTCAACTAACTACACATAAACTTCCATGAGATTGCTTCCTCATTCTGTGTAATGTAAAAGAACATAAATTAAGTTCTTATGTGTGGAACTAAATAAATTTTTGCAAAATCTAAAGTCTGATCTTTACAGGTATACATAGCACATGGTAGCCTAAAGCAACACAATCTTAGGATGTATTGTAAATATATATATATATATATATATATATATATATATATATATTTACACACACACACATACATACATACATACATATATATATGAAGGACAAAGCTAGTTCAAAAAATTAATACAGAAAGGAAAGGAAGGAAAAAAAGAAAGGAAGGGAGGGTATAAGATGTTTTTCTAGGAATTGAACTCGGTTCCATGTAATTTAAACTGACTAAAATGATGAGCTCTTTAAGAATTACATTCATTTAGGACCACCTATTTTTTTATTCAAGAAATTTGTAAGATACAAACCATGTGTTGAGTTAAATCAAGTAAAATTTAATGGAAAATTACATTCAAAGTCGCCTGAGTAGTCCTGTGTGGGTTATGTTCTCATGCATTTTTCATCACCAGGAAACAGCTTGAGAATGTCACACTTTACCATCACCCTCCTGAGCCCAAGTTTTAAATAGAAATTTAAAAACCTATATTAAACTTCGGTATAAAATAATCTTCAATGGGGAAAATATTATGTTCACAGTTCCACTCTAAATTATTTAAAATCAGAATGAGAGGTCTGTGTGTTTGCTTTTGTGCTCTTAATTAAGAATGAATCCAGTCTAACTTAAAGAAAAATCTACAGGCAGAAAGTTACCTTTTTATTCTTATTAGGAGATAAAATGCTAATGACTACTTAGAGTAAGTATAAAACATAGTCACTTGGCATAAAACTTGGCAAGAGAATAGAAAGCCAAAATTGTCTCTTTCTGGAAAGGCACAAATAATATTCTAAAAATGATACATTCTACATAGATAGCTTTGTATAAAAGAGTTAATGTAATTGTTTTTAAGGCATAGACCATATTAAACTTACTACCTGAAGAAACTGAACTGAGGAAATTAGAAAAATAAGGACATTTTTAAAATAAAACAATCTCCATTCATTCAGAAGAAAGATTTAGTAAAGAAAGATGCTAATGGTACAAAGTAGTCTATTAAATTAAATAGATTTAGATGCATTAATTGCTATGGTTGTATTCTACACTCTGTTAACACTATAATGGCAGAAAATTAATATTTTGCCACATTTGGTGGTAAAACAATCAATATTATTTGCCCTGTGAAACTGATCGGTAGACATTGAAATACTCTGTAACTTACGAATCAATCATGCTGACTCCACAGGAAGAATCAAAGGTTCTCTAAAAACTTTCCTAGTCTATAAAAGAATAGGATGCATCTAAGAGACAGTCTCCGCTTTCAGAGTTAGATTCTTATAAAGTGAGTCTTTAAA